TTTGTAAGTGTGTTTTATGTGTTCATTTATTCACCGGCCGGGTCGGCCGTTTTCGTCGGAGGGAGTGCTGTCAGGAAGGTGAAGACCACGACGGAGCAGTGGCGCGCACGACCATCTCGCGCCAGGCCCCACGGGCCGGCTCGCCCTCCATAAATCCTTTGTGTGTTCTATCATCGTGTACTGTCCTGTTCTTTCTGCTGCCGACAGCATCACCGTAACAATATATATATATATATATATATATATATATATATATATATATATATATATATAAAGGGCATGGTGGCGGGAGGCCTAAGGCGTGGGTATAAAACTGAGAAGAAAAAAACCCGTAGTGAGAAACAGCAACAGCGGACGATTTAATCTTCGACGTTTCGGCCGGAGTCCGGCCTTCGTCAGGAAGCTGACGAAGGCCGGACCCCGGCCGAAACGTCGAAGATTAAATCGTCCGTTGTTGCTGTTTCTCACTAAGGGTTTTTTTCTTCTCAGTTTTATATAAATATATATATATATATATATACATATATATATATATATATATATATATATATATATAGAGAAAAAAACGAAGCGCAGGATGACGGAAAGTATATACCAGATGTGTGGAATGCCACGTGACGTGGTCAAGGAGCGTCAGTGTGCCTTTATGTGCCAGTCTTGAAAAAGGTCTGTCTCAGGCCGAAACGTCGACCAACTTTACCAATAATATGTTTTAAAAACTCCAACAACCGTCTCAGGTGCGTTTTCTTCCGTATATATATATATATATATATATTATTATTATTATTATTACCATTATGATCTGCTGTTCAGCCACTCCGCTACATTCACGTAAACGTTGTGAAAAATAACAAATGTTAAAAGTTTGAGGTCAATTTTCTCAAAAACACCATTCTTGTACATTTTCATTTTTTAAATACTTTTAGATATTATATCTGACTACAAGAGAAAGCAGCTATGAGTGTAATATTTTAATTGTATGCCCTCTATTTGAGCCGCAATCGCGTGAAATGTGTGCTCTTTTGACTAAAATACAGCAACCTTGAACGTTGTGCGCCTCTACGATATCAAAAATATGTTTTTATTTTTGTTTAGGTTTCCAAAAAGGAACATAAAGTAGGCGTACTTTTGATATTCATTGTAAATTAAAACTTGAAATAAGAGAGAAGCCACGTGAGCACACTAAAAAAACAATGAGTAACAAGTATATACAAATTAAAAGGCAACGCGACATCTCAAAACATGTTCTACATTGAACGGTTCAAAGTAAACGAAGGTGGCTATCATTACTCAGCCTATTACCATTGAATTATACATTCTCACACCATTCCAATGTTGTGCATAAATAATCGGAAAACATTCGCCCATTTTTGTTCTCCTCGCATCTGGCAGATCGCCCACTGTTGACTGCACAGTTCTTGCACCTCAGTATTCTGGAAACGCGGGCGCTGAACCAGTAAAAAGCTCAAAAATATCGATGGCACATTTTCCGAAGGCAGTACACTTTTTTACTAGTTCGACGTAACTGTGAATCAGTTCTCGCACTGTGTAGGAGCCACGCAGTCCACGGTTGCAGTTTTGAACATGCCGACACTCACTCACTGATGATCTTCTGAATTTCGAGACACAAAACGGTACGTGAATGCCTTGACACGTCTATGCAGCTACTTTGTGCTTTTGCAAATCTTTTCGAGAGCAACGTTCAAGGCGCCTTCTTTCAGTGTCTTCCTCCACACGTGTGAGGATGATTCCCCTTGGTGGGTTTACCTTCTCCCACACTTTTCTGGAGCTCCCGGAAATGCGTGAGCTTTACTTTGGCGATTGAGAGTAGAATGATTCAGTTGACTTTCGGTCCTAGTGCCTCAAAGAAGCTTTGCGCGCTCGTTATGCAGTACAATTCTGTGGTTGTCAAATGTCAAATTATGCATGGATGCCTGGTGCTTGAGCACACCGCCCACTCCATAACACGAGCTTTTCCCGTGCCCTGATATGGAAAATATGCACTTGGGAACGTCATTCTTTTTCTTGAATTCGTACATCCGATGCCTGTTTTCGAAGAGGCTTGGAGTACTGTCGGAAATATAAACGAGTTGCGTGAAAATAGGCAGAACTTCCTCCAGCCACCCTTCGCCAACGCTGAGCGCAAAGAGCGCATGGGGCGAGTCATGGACGATGTCTTCGCTCACTACGACGATCTTAAAGTTCCCTGTTCTTTCGTGGCCACGCAGTAAAGATGAAAACCATTTTGCTCTTCCAGTTATGTCCTCGCACGGCGCGCTGGCTCATGACACTGCAGCTTTCAGCAAAATCGAAGTGCAAGATAACGGCATGTGATTTCACAAACGCTTTCTCAAGCCCTATAGCTCTTCGCCGGACGCGACTGATGAAGAATTGGGGAATGTATTCTATTTCCCAATTCTAAAACTCTTAAAAAAAAACGTCGAAATGTTTTTTTGTTTTGTTTATTTTTGCGAGGCAAGCTCCAGTTCGTCTTTGACTTCGAGTCTTAGCTTAGAGAGGAACGCGGTATACTTCTTCAGAGTTCACATTCTAGCAAGAAGCAGTCTTGCGTAGGGGTATTTTTTTTTAAACGTAAGGAAAAATTAAAATATATTTTCCAAATTGTACAGGCGCCAATGCCTGTAAGATGGCTGTATTTTGGACAAATGAGCAGACATTTGTCACGATCGCGGCTCAAATAAAGGACATAAAACCAAAATATTACATTTTTAGATTCTTTATTTTTTGTAGTCGACTATTGTATCTAAAACAAATTTAAAAAAATAAGAATTTACAAAAGTGAGATTTTCGAGAAAATCGGCTTTAAACTTTCAACATTTGTTATTTCTCACAAAGTTTACGTAAAGGGGGGGGGGGGTGGCTGGTCAACAGATCATAATGATATTATTATATCTATACTAAGTTTGCTTTGGTCTTTCTATAGAGCTAAAGAAACAAGACTTACCTTAAGTTCAGACAAAGTAAGGACCTGTCGAATTTGACCAAGAACCGACCTGAACGACAAGTTTATCACTGTCTTTAGAAAAAAAAAATCCTAAGAATGATTGGATACGTCAAGGTGCATTTATGGAAAAAAGTTAAGAGAGTGGAGGAAAAACACTAGCGCCAGCAGAGGGTGTCAAACACGCAACCAGCCACAGCAGGACGCATGTTTTTTTTTTTTTTTTTTTTTTTTTTTATAGTTTCTGTTGCTGCGGCTTCTACGTTTCTTAACTCGAGAACAAAAAGTCTGGGGAAAATGCAGTTTGCACTATCCTTCATTTGAGAAATATCCCCAAAACATTTTTTTTCGTCATATTAAAAAATTAGTACATTTTAGCCTGCCCGATTTAAGGTGAAACCACCCATATATATATATGTATATACATTTACACTGGAATAGGTAGAAAAGCACAAACAATTAAGAAAAAAAAGATTTAGCGGATGTGTATCAGGACGAATAAGTATCAATGTCACAATTCATAGCGGTGCGTTTCTCAGTTCTCTCTTTTTTGTGTTTGTCTAATGTTCCAGCTGACCTCCCTGTATAAAGAATAAAGGATATAAAGAAAATATGCTTCCTACAGAAAACCTTGGTGTTTACTTGGAGCTTAGGTATCTTAAACTGGTCGGTAGAACTAAAAGAAGAATGAATTATCTGATTAATTTTTTTATCGAAATATAATAAAGACCAAAATAAAAAAAAATAAACGAATACACGTAAGACTGCTTACGTGTAGGAATGCGAGCGCATTCCTACTTCTTTTTTTTCACACGGCTCTCCGGCGGGAACATCACGCTCCGCCAAGGCGCAGGCGCGGAGCCCGTGCCGGCTCCACGGTGTCCGTGGCAATGCATTTGCGTTGCTCTGCTTTTCTTTGTGTTTTATTTCTGAGGCGCGTCCGCTTTGACCTTGCGCGCCCCGCCGGCTTCCGTGACGAAGCATCGGCGTTGCTGTGCTTTTGGCCAATGGGACTTTAGTTGCCGTTTCACTCAGCCAATGGGAATTGATGTGCCGTTTTTCGCTGCTACAGACAACGCCGGCTTTGCTCCACGGGATAGTTAATGCTTTCGGGTTAAAAGGGTTATAAATGTTAACATTAAGTTCTATCGCTGAGAATAGGGCAATGTGAAAATGTTATTCTATACAGAGTGGTAATTGTGTATTCGGTAAAGGTAAAATAAATTTAAAGCACTAATGATTGTCTTGCATACTATTATTTCTTTCGTGAGTCATCTGTTGAAATGCATTGGAATGGTACAGCCATCGGTATCCTATATATATAAGCTTGCTCTTAGTTTGACATACTCTCACTACACAAGGTGTAATACGAGTAGGTAACTGTAATTACACAAGGTGTTAATTTTGATTTAAAACGTATTCATTTTTGAGGAGTGGCTGGTACCAAATTCTTCAGTTAGCGTTTAACGTGATGGGCAGACTTTAGACTGGAGGACAACCGTCTCATTGTTCTGCCTGAATAACGTTTTATATATGGAATTTATCCACCACCTTCAGAAATGCAATTGCATTTCTGAAGGTGGTGGATATTAGAGGTTACAGAAATATTCTGTCTATTTGAGTAAAAGCTACTGGCTTTACGATGACCAGATAATGCGTTTTTTTATATTTTTGTCATGATATATTTACATTATATTCAGAACGAGCACTGCATGCACGGCCCGTAAACGTGATGTACAGGGGACGGGTATATCGTCGTTATCTCGGCGCTATCTGAACATGCTGTAAGAAAATGTACCCATTACCATTACGTCAGCCTTCTGTTACTCTTTTGGGCACGGTCCGCGAAGCCTAATAAAAACGAACCAGGACAACTTCAACGCAAATCCACCCTACCAGTTAGAAAATATTTTTTGTATAAAATGGAAACATGAAGTACCATGTATATATTTCAATAATAGAGCAAATCTCGCTTCAAGGGTACACGTACGTTAATACCTGCAGGTTAAAAAATGTGATTTTGTCATTACCTACACAGGTTAAGCAACTCAAGAAAGAGCATCCAGGTGCTTTGTTTATGAACGGCGGAGATTTTTACCAGGGGACTCCCTACTACACGATTCTGAAACACTATATGGTTTCAACAATAATGACTGCGATGGCGTATGATCAGGTGGTAAGCAGAAAAAATGTTTTGAAGATTGTTTCTTCAAGATTCGTGTCCCGAAAAAAAAAATAATGTATTGATTTATGCTATCAAGAATTCAAAGGTATATTTTCACGATTGTTGCAACTATGAATACTTTGCTGCCAGCTTTTAAGTATATTTTAAAATAATGCAAATCTTAAGCCGTATCGGAGTATTTTTTTTTACAATCTAGTTTGAAGTTTACGCATGAATACCTAGAATTTTATTAATATATATTGAAATTTTGTTTATTTCCACACGCAATTCCTATAATGTCTCTCACCTAGACCTATATGAGGGTAATATCAGAAATAGTAAATTGAGACCCAAGTGTCCCATAAAGAACGATGAGATGGAATCTATATTGTTCATCCGAACATTTGTTATGCGTAATATAGAAGTTTTGAGTGTTGCACTATAATTTTACCTAACAAATGCTACCGTGTTTGTAAATTCAGCGTGTAATATATGCTGTGTTTTTATATTATGTGAGCTTTATTATATTTTCACTGCCGTGGCTTCCCGTAAACATTGTTTTTAATACAGATTTTTTTTTAAACGTGAAGAAAAATCTATGAAAATTTATCGCAAGGTAAATATCAGAGCGAATTTTGTGGGCATAAGATTAAAAATCGTATTACAGTTTCAAAATACTTGAAAACTGTAACTGCTTCACATGTTTTTTGTTTATTTGTTAAGCTAGAAAAGTGGTATTCAAGTCTTGCCGCGCGTACAAGGAATGAATATTTTATAGCTGTTTTACTAAGTATTATATCGTAAGTCCTGTACCTACAACGTTCATTATGAAGCATGACATGTACATTAATTCTCTACAAAAAGAAAACGGCTGAGATATCCCGCCATATGGAGTTATCTGTGCTATAACAGGCCTTATCTAATTATGGAAAATGTTTAGCATTTTGGAAGTCCTATTTCTTTTTTATGATTTTATTCTGAAGCACTTATTTTATTTTTCTTATTTTATCCTGAAGCATTATTTTAACTATTTCAAAATATTCCCAGCTTAGCACGTAATAGCTAGAATTAGTTTCAAACCAATTTTAAACACGTGTATTAGTTGGTTTTTGTAGGACCTCCTAGGCATGTTATCCTCCGTTTCGCATAATGTCCGAGTGCAGCTAACGCTACGATCCAATAAAGTCAATGAAACAACGTCCAACTTGCATCACCACGGCGCTGGTCGTCTTTGATCACTTGCTATTACCGGATAAACCAAGCACGTGAAGAAAAAATGTACGATCACGGATCTTGGACTGCGCTTGATTGCTTTAGCCTATGATAGAAAACGCATAAAGAGGAAGGGTACCGTGACAGAGCATGTCTGTTGCTACTTGAGTGACTCCATCTATTTGTAGCGTCGGTTGCACTTGGACTTGTCTGAAATAAAGTGTAGAAGCTGCAGACGGTCATCACCTCAATCTCATGAGCAAAGCGGGAGGTTTTCCATGTTGCTCATCCCGTCAAGTTTGAAAAATTGCATATGATTCCACTTTTACATGTTGTTAAAGTCATCATATCATTAACCTGCTATAAATAGTTTTCTCACATTTTTTTTAAAAACTCTCCTTTCCTGCCAATATTGTAGGGTCGTTATAGACACTTTTCAAAAGTATGCCCCATCGCCTATCTGCCATTGCTTGCTCATATACTCTGAGCAGGTATTGGTCATGAGCGCTGCGTCAGCGTTCGGCGAGGACTCCGATCCAATCACGTGCTTCCTGAGCAAGCAATGGCGACGCCCAATGTTGCTTGATGGACTTTTGAAAAGGGTATATTAAAAGCAGATAAAAAATAAATGGGACTCCGAAAGGTCTGAATACAGTGATGGAAACGTTAAAATGGCTTTTCTGAGCATTTTTCTCTCTTGCTATGCAACTACAGAAAAAAGGCTACGCTCTATAAGTTCCCAGAGAGACATAACGACACAACACACCCGTACACGCGCATCACTTTTATGACGGCATTGAAAGGAAGAGTTCATTGTCAGAGCCTTTTTTTCAAGATTGGCCGCGGAAACCAACAACGCTCATGATACGTCAAAATTTAAGTTGAGCGCTGGTATTCTCGGTAACGCGTTACTTCTACGGTAACGTAGCAACGAACTCGTTACTTCTTCAAAGCAGTAACGGATAACGTACTTACGTTACTTGTTTCAAGTAACGGGTGGCGTAGTTACGTTACAAGTTACTTCTTCCAAAACTAAAAAAAAAATACACTTCAATTTTTTTAGTGCTTTTAGGCGTCAAGCCACGTGAATTTTCGAGTTTTCCTGCGTTTGTTTTTGTGTTTCTTCTCGTGAGTATTTAGGTGAAACCGTGGAAAATATAAACATAATATGCTCAGTTTCTGCATGACCATGTTTCTTGAAATATGGCGCTTATGCATACATGTACCGTCAAAACAGTAAGTCGTGTTAATTCTTAATTAAGAGTAACGCAAAAGTAACTTGCACTACTTTTTATTGGTAACAGTATCGGTAACGTATTCCTATTATCTCGAAGTAACGTAGGTCGGTAACGCGTTCCTTTTATTCGCAAGTAACGAGTAACGTGTTTCGTTACTTTCTTTCGGTCACGCCTATAACACTGGTTGGTATTGACCTTTGCCAAAATCGCATTCGGCGCGCTGCTATCTTTGTCTGCTGGGCTGTGGAACGCCTTCTGAGCATGCGCTGTTGCTCTGCTGAGTGGTATATCGGACGCTGCGCATGCGTCCACAGCTCAGTGACTCAGCATTTTTGCCCAGGTGATTAGTAATGGAAAGGTCTATATATCACCTCGTAAAAGTCAAATATTTCACTTCAGTCATCCTGGATGACTGAAGTGAAATGACAGAAATCTAGCAGAAGGTGCCAGATTTCATTATTCAACGAATTCTTCAGAAATATTCTAAAGGTTAAGAACACAATCGATCATTTCTACTGTACAGGGAAATCTGTTTCTTTCAGTGCTTAGGAAATCACGAGTTTGATGATGGACCAGAAGGACTAGCTCCTTTTCTAGAAAGTATGGACGCTGCGAATATAAGTGTTGTCAGCACCAATACTGATTTCGACAAAGAACCGGCTCTTAAGGACAAGCCGATCAAGAAAAGTGTTATAGTAACTGTGAAAGGAAGAAAAATTGGAATCATCGGGGCTGTCCTTCCGCAAACAAAACAACTTTCAAATCCAGGTAGGAATATAGTCTAAATTATTACACACCAAATAGTATAATGTTCCGGCAGTACTCCCCGTTTTGATAAGGACGCGTTATTTGGGAAGTTATCTCTTTACGAATACAAAATGCTCCGGGCTACTATAATCTGTAACAACATTGTGTGGCTTTTAATCCTGGGCAACCGATTCTAACTGGGTCCTCTGACTATGTGGTACAATAGAGTTAACGAAAACAATGTTCAAGTTCTATTGAGAAAGGACTCTACAACGCAAACAAAACACTGAATAATTTATTTCAACTTCAGTTAGCCCAATTTCGCTTCAGGTTTGCTATTCCCCACGTACATATATAAGGTGGTGCCTGCCTGAATTGTATATTTGCGTTCATCGGTACGCACTTTAACCGTTATTTCTATATTAAATTTAACCCGGATTTTTTTTTTAACAAAAAATCATGTGACACAAAGACTAAACACCAAGAATGTGACTTTCAAGGCCTACAATAAAGAAAGAAGAAATGGACAAGTCATGTCAGTTATTTTAAGAAGGCGCAATGCGAGCGAGTTTGCCTTCCATGTCCCTCTTTCGTTATCGTAAATTAGACATTAACACGCTCAACCATTCCTATAGTCCCTTTAAGTCGCAAATTATAAAATAATGGACTCATACTTTGTTTTTGCTTTAGTCTTGTCTTTATTAATCTGAACAGTAAAAAAAACTAACTATCAAAGCGTTTGCATTAAAAATTTACAAACAGAATGTTAACAATATCGTTGATCTGCCCAGATATAAAGACACCGTAAAACATTGGGATGGTTTTTGTAGATGATGTCGTCCCCACGTGCCGCTTTCGTGGCATCGAGCCGCGTGCCACCACCAGACCGAGTGTCCATGAACACGATAAAGTGTGATTATATTTTCTCCACAAGCGGACATGACTGCTGTGTGTCGTCGCTCTTAACAAAGTTCTCACAACCTCAGTTCTGATGGTTCTCACAAAACCATTTTTAAAGAAATGGAACGAAGGAGTTCTTTCCGCTCTTATTGCATAGGAATAGTAGATTTTCTGCGCTTGAAGCCAGATACGCCTTTATGGCACACAGCCACGCATCCTCGGACTTGTGCTGAGCGTGATAGCTTCTTTCACTGAACTTCGGCGGCAACTCACCAGTGACTAAATGGAACAGCGCGGAACATAGGACAGAAAGAACAGGACAACACGAGCGCTGACTTACAACTAACTGTTTAATGAGAAGCGAAGGAAGAAGAAGAAATAAGAAGCGAAGGAAGAAGAAATAAACTGACGATAAGGATTGAAACAAAATACTTGCAATGAAAATAACTAAAAGATGAGGGAAAAGCAAAACAAAAACAAAAGTGAAGAAAAGAAAATAACTTTTTAGAAAAAGCAAGGTTCATTAAGTGCTCTCGAGATATGCGATTTCCTTCCTCAACAGGGTCACGGAAGGCATGCTGACTGCGCTTGTGTCTTTCTTAATGATGGAGAACGCTTCGATGATCTCGCGCGTGCGACAGTCTCTATGGTGTTTGATAATCTCGCATCTGTCAAATGCTGGGACGCAGGCACACGCTGCACAATGCCTGGCTAGGTTGCTGCCAGTGGTCGTTCCCAAAGAGGCGCGGTGTTCTCTCAGACGATCGTTGATGCACCGCCCGGTCTGGCCAACGTACGACCGACCGCACGATAGCGGAACGTCCTACACGACGCCTTCGACACACTCGACGAAAGGATTTGCATGGCTCTTCTGGCATTGCCTGATGGAGGTGGCAGAGGGGTTGGTAGAGTTTACTTTTTTGCACAGACGACCCAGTTTGTTAGGTGCAGAGAAAAGTACCTGAACGCCTGCCTTGGCTCCAACCTTTTTCAGGTTGTGGGACAAGCCATGGATGTAGGTTATGACTGTCCAAAGAGATCTCTTGCGTGTATCTTGAGGCTTGCTAGTGGAGCGACGCGACTCAAGAAGGAGCTTTTTTGCCAGGCTACTCAGCAGAGGTTGCGGGAAGCCTGCGGACAGCAGTCTGACCTCTTGGGCGTTGAAGCCTCTCTCAACCTGGTGATGGCAGGATCTTTGCGTGGCATTTTTCATAGCCGCTAGCGCTATTCCTCGCTTCACAAGCTTGGAGTGAGCGGACGAGAACGGCAAGAGCGCCTTTTGCGAACGAGGGGAATACCTCCAACAGACGTGCTCCGCTCCAAACACCAGGATCAGGTCTAGGAACCGCAACTGATTGTCTTCGGTCAGTTCCTTGGTGAGAGTGAAAACACGGAGGTTCGACTTGAAAATTTCAAAGATGTTTTCAACTTGCCAGTGGGTGTCAGCTCCAGAGGTTTGGAACAGCACCAAGAAATCATCGACATACCGGAACACTCTAGCTACCTTGAAGTCCCGCAGAGATATTTCGAGCAGTCTGTCATAGTAGGCCAACAGCAGATCGCTGAGGACTGGCGCAAGGCACGATCCTATGCACACACCCTTGCGTTGTATGTAAAACTGGTCGCAGTACACCACTGATGTAGAGCGCAGATAAAAAAGGAGGAGATCTAGAAAGTTGGCGATACTGACGCCGCATGAGTTCTGAAACTTTATAGTTCCAAACCTGTCGATGCAGTCACTCACGACCTCGCAGAGAAGGTCGTGGGGCAAAGAGTAATAAAGGTCTTTGACGTCAACTGAAAAGCCCTGCAGGTTCCCATCGTGCAGTTGTTCAAGGTAATCGGAAACTGCAGACGGCCTCCTGACCAAGAAGGGATCATCTAATTCTAATACAGAAAGCGACTTTTGGAGGAAAGATCCTACCGAGTGCTGCCACGTGCCTCGTTCAGAAACGATAACTCTGAAGGGACATTTGGTCTTGTGGGTCTTGGCCGTGAAAAAGCATTCCAGACTAAGACCTCGGCTGTTCCGTACCGACGTCGCCAGTGTGGTGAGGCCTAATTGCTGGCACTTCCTGATCGCTTCTGCTTTCACCTTTTTTGGGCGATGGTCTTTCAGTGGGCGAAAATTCCCAGTGATTGCTTCTAGGGATTTCTTACTGTAGATCTTGTCCGGTATGACGACAAAGCCTCCTTCTTTGTCGGAAAGGAGTAGTTTTAAATTTGCCTCGCGGAGCAGGGCAACCGCTTCACCTGTGCGAGCCGGGCAAGGGCTCCTGGGCGAAACTTGCAAGTGCTCTACGCCTTCGAGAATGCATCTGTGCGCTTCCTCACCTTCTGCTTTGGCGGCCGTTCTTCTCACCAAAGACAATAGTTCGGGCTTGTCTAATTTGATAGGGTTGCAATACTTGGGACCCAGTTGCAGTACGCTGAGCGCCTTGTCAGGAATCTGGGTGTTGCCAAGGGCACGAACATCTTGAGCTGGAGGAAAGCGGGGTCTCTTCTTGGGGAGTGAGGCAAGGATAGTGGACCAGAGGAAGTCGGTTGCCTGTGAGGCAGTTCGGAGTTCGAACTGCAGGCGCCTGGAAGCTTGATCTGGTGGTCCGTCTCGAAAACAGGCGAATCGAATGCACTCCGTAAAGAGGCGAACCTGACGCCAAGCTTCTGATCTGAGGATTCGGCAGATCCGGCGACCATGATTGGGCGATGGCGGGAGGGGCCCGACCATGACTGCGATGTCGGGTGGTAGGTAGGAATGCTTGATGGAGAAGGCGAGCAGCCGTGCTCGGCAAGATGCTAGGATGAGCAAGGTGACGTGGTTGGAAAGGGACGAACATAAATTAGGATGGAAAGGGCCCGATATAGAAGAAATAGATAAAATAAATAAAAGAAGAAAAAAAAAAGAGGTCCAACAAATGACTGCAGGTGCGAGGTCACCAGTGACCTCGCACCTGCAGTCATTTGTTGGCATGGGATGCTTTCTTGTTGCGTTGGAGTTCTGAAGAATACGCATGGACGAAACTCCTACAGGACGCGTGGAGAATTTTAGCTCCCCACACCAACGCGGAAAGGTTCAGTGACATCGCTTTCTCTCCCAGTGACGCACCGTCCCTTTTGTAAACTAATCAATCATTGACAATGCAAACGTCCATAGAACAATCGAAAATAGCTAGGTTCCATCTGTAAGACTTGGATAGAATCTTGTTGAGGTGAACTAGCATGTCTGAGAGATCAATCCCATCCATTTGCTTATTATACGCTGAACTGATCGATGGGGAGTTCACAATAACTTTTGATTTCTGTTTGTTGGACCTCTTTTACACAAGCAAGTGTTTATACACCATGTGCACTGCTTAGTAGCGTTACGCATCTGTTATCGTTCCATTTCAAAGCTTTTCCTCCTCAGAAACGTTTCCTTACTAGAGCCAAGCTCAGAGCCGCTTGGGTGTACATAAACGAGTGCCACACCGCGGTCGTTTCATCTTGCTTCGTAAAATAGTGTTTCCTTCATTCCGTTAGCAAAAATACTACTTCATAGCATACAAATATGTAAATATGATCTCAAAGTCACACCCCCATTATATAAAGTGGCCGATAAAGAAAGTAGTATTGAACATAAATTATGTAAATTATTTAATGAAAAAACAGTAAAAACATGAAGTGGTAAAACATGCTCCTAAAATAACAACAATGAAGGAGGTCGAAGATGAAGGAAGAAATAAAAGCCTCCACAAAGCACCTTCTTCTTCCTTCTCACAACTGCCTCATACCCACAAAGGGGAATTTGCCATGGCCAGATATGTATTTGAATAATATGAAAAACAAGCTACGAAAAAAGGCAAAAACTTACACAAAAAAAAAAGAAATTAAGAGAAGAAAGAGCAAAACGTTATATTCTTTCACAATTCAGCCAAAAATATTTCACAATTCAGCCAAAAATACAGGAGCCTTTCATGGAGATTTCAACACAAAACTGAATTTAGGTTAAGCTATCAAAGCATTACTACCAATGTGATAGGAGAGGCAAAGTGACTTTAGCCGTAAGAAAGACGCACAATTGTACATTGCTTCCTGCGCACTAATTTACAGAAATATATTTACAGAAACAACCTGCAGCGCCGAAGCATTATAGCACTTACCATATCATTGCTGCTCGGCAAATTTGTAGTCTCTCTTCATGCGTGTTGTGGGACGACTCTTGAGATTTTGTACGAATATCTTCAATGAGCCCCTCTGAAGCAAGGGAAATTTCGAAAGTATTTCACCTAACAATAATATTTTTTTAATGAATGTCTGCACGTAGCCAAAGTGGGAACCGGTGAAAAGTGGGGAGACGGGCGCTTTTCAGAACTAAACGTTATTGTTACGCCGTTTGTTCGTTATTAAAGACCTACTAAATAAAAAGCTTGGGTCTAAAAGTTGATACATTTAGCAGAATTCGTCAAAACTTTAAAGTAGTCGCGTTTTTTTCTTTTTTTTGGGGTCTGCTAAAGTGTTGATTTGCGCGCTAAAGGGTTAATTAGAATACCACCAGAGAAATATTCCAAAACAATGTAACATACACTTGGCCCCCGAAAAAAAAAAAAAAGAGTAGGATAGGAATGCACAAAGTAACCGATTTGCGGTGCTTCGGAAGTTTTCTCAAAACTGTCGGTAGTCATTAATAAACCAACCGCGTCCGCAATTTCATGGCAATCGTATCGTAAAGTAATATATTTCCGCTTACCGATACACAGACTTTGTCAAACTTTCAAAACTGCAGGGTATATAATTTCTGCGATACCTGAAGCTGGAACAAGTCCTGCATTACCGAGGTTTATGTCAGCATTTTGAAAGCTATGTCGACATAAGAATACAAGAAACCTGTAACAAATTTATGGCGTGCATCGTTTTGTTGTGTCGGCCAGCTTCATTTTAGTATTGAAGAGATTTCATTATTTAAATTTAATGAGAAGCACTGCACCAACGTTTCGGTTTTCGATCTTTAAAGCTGGACGGAAGCAAAAAAAAAATTCAAATTTTTCTTAATCTTGATTAAAATTACCGAGTAGAAAGGCCTCAGAGTACACCCTCGTTTTTTGTAGGACTATACAAACAAAAATTATGTTGAAATACATTAAATGATGCTGAGATTAAAACTTGCGGATGTGTCTGAAGCTTTATTTGGAAGTCATAATGCCGTTGACGTAAAAAAAAAAAAAAAAAAAAAAAAAAACATTAGCGTTGAGCCGCAGGAGTAGAGCTTACCATAGTCGGTTACAGGTTTAGAAGGTAGCGGCAAATGCCCCTCAAAGGGAATCATATATCCCTCCGCCACCTCCGTATCCAATAGCGTCCCATCGTTTCCGTGACGTCGCGGCCAACGCGAGAGGAGGGTCTTGCCTTTTGTACATATTTGCTTTATCTTTCGACTTTGACTTAGCATTGTGGAAGCCACGAGAGGGAGGTTAGAGTTTTCCCCCTCCGATGGAAACAATTACCACTCTCGGGGATTAGCTTCCCCCTCCGATGGATACAAAGGCTGCTTTCAGGGGCTCGGTTCCCTCTCCAATGAATACAAAGGTCGCTTTCTTAAAAAGTGGGATCGGAGACAAGTTGGAATCCATTGAAGCGGAACAAGGAGCGTTTCCAGTGAACTCTTCTTTCGACTGCGGAAAGATTTAAAACGGGCGCATCACGCTTGTGGGAGGAGCTTCTCCTACCTTCTTGACTTGTAACCGACTATAGGATATGCGAGTCGTGTTACTCGAGCACAATATATTGTCGAAAAAAGACAACGTCGAGTGGGGCACGTTGGGCCGCGTCGGCAAGGTTTGCCGAGTCGTCGCTACCGTATTCACGTAAGTTGACGGCCAGGCAGCCGTCTCCTTTGAACAATTTGTTTGAATGTTGAATGGGGCGAGTGTTCTCGAACATTCGGTGCGTTTACGGCGAGACAAAGTGCTAATTTGTGGCTGGAAACTGTTGCAGCATGGTGGTGCACCATTTGCGCAGGTCCACCATTTTTCGAACGAGGAGGAACTGCCGAAGCTGTGTTTCACATTTAAAGTGAACGCTTGCGAGGCAATCATATACGTAGTAAGGACTTTCTTTATGAAACGGTTGCAAAGGCGTTGACATATGTGGACCCACCAGTCACCACGTTTTGACAAAATAATAAAATCGCTTGACTGGGATCTGGCTGCAGGTACAGCGGCACAGGTGTCGTTCACTGAGGTCGTCATTTCGATCATACTCTTTGTACTGAAATGTTGTTCTACATAGAGCCGCAGCCTGGATGGTGAGCACTCCGCAAACGGGGTGCTGGTGGTGGTGGTGCCGATGGGGCAGTCAGGACAATGGGTGCGATTGGATCGACTGTCGTGCGGCTGTTCAGTCCCTTGGTACCACAACTGATCAGGATTGTAACGTGTCTTTGCCACCAAGTGGCAAACTTCTTAACTGCAGTGCACCTAATGTACCTACAACCAATTATATCACAAGCACAACGGATGTCTCTCAACGTTTGAGCTCTTCAATGGCTTACTTTGAAGTGATGGCCAAAATCACACGTTTAGAACAATAAATGTACACATTCTCTTAAATAAAAACGTAATTTGCATTTGCAGGTATTATTGATCTTATTTGGCTTATTGATGAATGTTTTGAGTGTATGATAAGTTTCGGTATTATTTGAAACATACCATATCGCGCAGTTATCAGGGAATATTCTGCACGAGTCTCTCTTTCTGTTCTGTACAGATTTGTGGCATTAACTCATTAGCGGGAAGCATTTTTGATCAATACCTACGTAGTTTAATAGATAACTTGAATGCTAGAACGTGGGCAGTTAATTTTCTCCCAACACAACACCTAAATCAAAACGTTTGTTTTTTTAGTTAGAAACCACTTACGGGGATAATGTATACGGGAGATTCTCTTACTAGCTTTGAATTTATTGCCAAACAAAGTGGTCCACAATTATAGGTGTGCAAGACATCACTAGGATAGTTTAAATTATATCTTCCCAAAATAAAGCTTTATGAATAATTAGCCCAGAAAAGTGCGTCCTCCTATAAACAAAGAACGTGATTTAACACTGAGGTTGACGTCGGCATTATATACATCATGCTCAGGGTCTTTCCGCAAACTTTTTTTCTATTTCATTATATGTCTCGGCGCTCGTCGAGCGCCTCCCTTAATGAGAATATGAATTGTACAGAGAGCTCATGTGACCCAGAAGGAATACGAATTCATTGTTTTCTCCGCAGCAAGTAAGCTAATCGCAATGTTCTACAAAAAAAAAAAAAAACAACTTTACAAGTAATTTAAGTTTATTGACGTGTTATTGAAAACACCACATTCGTTTCGATTGTGCTTCTTGTAAAACGTAGCGCCAGGATAAATGTAAGATTCCACTCACAGATCAGCATTTGATTACCTTGCCGGGGCTCACATCAAAATACACTTGCGAGTGACCATGGTCACCGAGAGGTAGGTCGCGAGTTCCCATGTTAACTTGCATGTTTATATTTGACAATACGCTACTGTATAAGTAGGCCGGAACGGGACCTCATGGGTACGACACCAGCACACCAGCACTACAACCACACCCATAGGTGATACAACGGAGCGTATGTTCATTCAAAGAATTCTACACGCAGAAGGAAATCGTATAATGCTCCAAATAAACATATACAGATTTCTTCCAGTTGCATAAGGTACAAACACTGCTGAGCTTAGTAAGCTAAACTTATCAGTTTTCAACCTTACTTGTGAATATTGACGATCACCTTGTATCACCCATGGTGTTGTAATATCTGTGCTTCAGCGCATAACACGAAATAAACTGTATATTAATATCTGTTTCCTTTTTTTTAAAACCGTAGGTCAAGTCGAATTTCATGACGAAATTGCGAGCTTTAAAAGTGAAGTTCAAAATCTGAAGAAAGAAAACGTGAATATCATCGTAGGAATTACTCACTGTGGGTACCTACGAGACATTGAAATAATGAAAGAAGTTGAAGATCTGGACGTTATTGTTGGTGGCCACACGAACACTTTTCTTTATCACGGTAATTTGTTTGAACAATTTTTCTATTAAAATAAGGTTTTCACAAGTACTTACTTATAATATCTTTTAGGCAATGGGTACCCCCCAGAAAATACCCCTGAAGGCGATTATCCCACACTTGTAGATAAAACCGACGGTTCCAGAGGGCTTGTAGTTCAAGCTTACTGCTACGGAAAGTACCTCGGATTCTTACAGGTTACATTTGATGGGAATGGAAATGTTATTAATGGAACGGGAAACCCTATTCTTCTAAATTCATCAGTCACCGAAGGTAAGTCAAGCAATATTTTATAAGGTATCGGCACATATTCATCGTAATGGATTCTTGAAAATAAATTGAAGTATCGGATAAAATGGTCAAAATGAAATAGCTACAGAAAAAATTGAAGTGAGAATGACAGTCAGTTTTTTAATATGTTTTGTGTGTACTCATAGCTATGAAGTGGTCACCTTACTTTGCCACTTGGCCCCCCGAAGTATTACTAATATATATTTTTTTTTGAAACATCAATTATGAAACAATAATATTTATAATCGATTTTAATTGAAAGTTTCTAAGACATACCCCCAGGTACAAACATTTTTTCCTGGTCACAGTATATCTCTATTGAAAAGGGATGGTTTGGCAATAATATTTGCAATCAAACACGAATGCTTTCGTATTAAAAAAAGCATTCCTACTGATGAGAACGCTACGCGTTCCACTAATATTTTATACGTGACTTCATGTCAAATATAACAAGTGTAACGAAAAAAGACGCCTCCTTACTCGTATAGGCATACCTTTACTACAATACCATATTAAAAAAAATGCGGTGGTTTAGCTCGGCTATGCCAGGATATACGTAGCGTGAGCTTATGCGCACAAATAGAGAGGCGCTATCAAGCGGCTTCGGTGCAGCGTCAGACTTGACTACTGCGCAACGGAGGCGCACAGTTGGGCACGCGGCGGCGGCAGTGCGTCTGCCGCGGCTATGACGTCACTCCTCTGGAATACGCAGACCGGCGAGGCGGGCGCGGCGGCGGCTCCGGCGCGCCAGCTGTGCGCCGCGTGACGTCACTGCTCCTCGCGCATGCGCAGCACGGAGCACGGCTTATTATGCGAGCCACGCGAAACTGCTCGACCTCGGCCAGTGTAGCTCACGCTACAAAAATAGGGTGGCTAATTAAAAAAAAAAAAAGAACTAAACGTTGTTCCAGCTGCGTGGTACATTCGTTCTTCGAATTTCTTGCAGATGAAAATATGACTCGAGTAATTGCGCCTTTCAAGGAAAATGTCACTAAGGTAATGCAGGAACCAGTTGGTTACACCAAAGTGTTGCTCGAACAACAGGATAATATATGCCGAATCCGGGAGTGCAACCTCGGAAATATGATGGCCGATGCGTACTTCGCCTACTACGCGGATATGAACACCTCTTCAGCAGAGCTTTGGTCCAACGTAAACGCAGCGATAATCAATGGGGGAACCATTAGAGCTCCACTTGAGCAAGGTGGTAAGTTGAAACACTTGTGTGATTCAATCGAAAAGATGATGATCATTTTGGGCTGGAACCCAGATATGCATTTTTCTCTTCAATCGGAAAACAAAAACATATAGCTAAACAGATTCCACAGATAAGTAACTACTGATTTACCAGGCTCAGTTGACATTGGGAATTTATTTAACGATCACGGACCTATGCCCTATAAAGTTGAAAGCAAAACTTATTCCGAGCGTTTTGATTACACACGACCTTCATTCAAAAACCGTGAAAAATCTTCGATTTCATTCAAACGAATACGTAGAGAAATTTGAAACCATGAATATACATTCCACAGATGTAAAATATTTTTTAGAAGCTTTCATTACGAGACAACAACACTACACAACTCCGAGAATCGAAGCGATCATAGCAGCGAGATGAGACACGAATCATTTTGGTCTCAGGCTAACCATGAAGTTGTGGTTTCGATAGGCCAAATGCACTTCATAATATTATGTTACAATCAGATACAATGTGCTTCCGCTTTCAAACATGTTACTTTTCTTTAATTTTAATAGTTTTTGTGTTGCCGACAGACATAGACGGATTCTGGGGCACGTTTTATTTTGGAGTCCCGACATGCTGTACTTTGTGCGTGTAAGAACAGCTGGTTGTGAGGTAAACGTAGGAAGACGAAGCCTTACAGGTCTCGCTACAGGTCGTTGCTTTGCGCTCAATTTTAACAGCTGGAGTACCGCAATTAATATTATATCACTTTTAGCTTCTCAAAGTTCGTGGTTTGCTAGATGTCCGATTATTGCAACTACCTGCCAAGCAACAACACGTCACCAGTCCGGCTGCTTTCGTCGCAGCCGATCTCAAAGTTTGCAAGAGCTTCAATCTTAAGCACTAAACATTTCGGGAGATATTTTTTGAAATAGGAAAGACTTAGCCGCCCATTTTGTGTAGCACCAAATGCAATTTGTTTGGCGTTTCGTTGATTTTCTTTTGCGCCAGTGACGGGCATAGCTGCGAGTACAGTGAGTGCGCCATGCGCTTCGCTGGCGGTTGCAAATCAGCGAACAGCTAAGAAATAGCACTTACTGCTGCGCGAAATGAACGGGTATGGATTTCTGATGCCAGCCGATATTTTCAATCCAAAGTTATTAGTGTGTAGCAGCCGCAACAGCTGTACCACTGCATCGAAATGGCGTTTTAGAAAACGCTGAGATCGGCAGGGACGGAGACGGTGTAGGAGCGGGAAGCAGCGACTTCCTTTCTCCTTAAGCCTAAGCACGCCCTTAGGGTCGTTGGATGTCCGTGTCACAACAGCAGCTCTGAGATTTTCCCGGTAAACTCACAGGGTAAGGTAAGCAAATATATAACACTTGCGTATTTATTTACCAAGGTAAATATGTGTAATGGAAGCCAGTGCCAAATTTATTTGTTCATTTGCATTTGTAATAAAATATTCACTTTTTCATTTGCAATAAAAATAATGTTAATATTAATATTATTTATTTATGCAGTTCTGACGTCCACTAATCAAAAATGAATTTATTTCCTTTTTAAACCATGTGCCGCGTTCTACCTCGCGTGCTCTGTCTTCGGCTGAAATCAGTCTTTGTCAGCTAGTTGATGCAATAATCACGCACTAAATCCGTTGACCAGCGAAATTGCCGTAAACGAAAGAGTTTGGCGTTCGAGCATGGTGACTCTCACCGCGTTTGTCGGGCCTTACTTGAGACGCATTTTTAAGTACAAAGCATTCAGGTGTCGAGATCTGGCCTCGCCAGATATCAGGACACAATTCCAAGTGGTCTAGTTTGAAAGTTCGGCTTCACCGAGGGAAACACTACATAAGCACTGGGCTAGCGCTTGATCTGGCATTCAAGCTAGCATACCCCGCGCATGGCTGCGTCGGTTATGACGGTTACGAAAACACTCGACTGCGGCGACAGGTTCACATGGTCAACAATAGCTCGGATCGTAGTTGACGTCGAATTGGGCTCAACCGTTGACAGAAGAGGCTCTAGCAGCGTCAACTGTTTTTCAGAGGTCGAAGACGGCACCATAGTCGCAGAGAAAGTCCATTCCGAGATTAACGCCCCTCGCACAGTTTTGCAGAACGAAGAACTTCACAGGGCACGTGTCACAGAGGGTTATCGACGAAGGCAGTGCAGCTCCCGACTAGTGTGATGAGGTGCCCTACGGCGGTTCGTATTTGAGTTCCATCCCACGGCGTCGCCATCTTACGGAGGCGACGAGAGAGCCTCCCACTCAAGACTGAGTAGTCTGCTCCGGTGTCCACGAGAGCCTATGCGTCGTGGCCGTCGAAAACAACGTGTAGGTTGTTTGGCACCGGTGCAGGCGCGTCGGTGCGATGCGTGGCCTCGGGAGACTGGGAGCGCTCCAGCGTTCTTAAAGGCTCTTTAGTCGTTTTCGGCAACGCCACCTACAAGCGTTGTCGCACTTAGTTTTCCCGACGAGATAGGAAGGACAGGCTGTACCACCCGGAGGGCGTAAGGGCGAAAGAGCACGTCAAGGCGAAGGCTATTGGGAACTTCGTTTTAGAGCCGGAACCGGGGACAGGTGTTTTCGGAGGTACTCCTCGGATATACCTCGGTCGCTCCCCAAGGCGGGGTCGCGGGTCGCTCGGCGCAAAACCTCGCAGGCCCATTTGTCGGTATGGGCACCTCCGGTAGACATCGTCGTCCTCGCCGTAGTGATCTCGCAGCGCTCGTCGATCGGCCATGCGCCACACATCCGTCTTCCTAGGTGCCGTTTCAGTGCGGACGAGCTGGGGCTGCCCTTGCCGACGTCAGAAAGCCTGCGGCGCTGGTGGGTCACGTCGAGGCGGTGTCGAATACTGCCGGCAGCTGGCGCTGGTCTCCAACCTAGTGCGGCGTAGGTCAGGGTTGGCTCCTCGGCTGCTGATACGCTGGCATGAACTTCCAGTTGGATTGTCTGTTGAACTTCCTCGCAGACAACTTCGGCTATCGATAGCGAAGCCGGCTGGCTGAGAGCAGGCAAAAGCTCCTCGAGCTCTTCCCGGGCGACATCGTGAATGATCTTGCGAATGCCTGGGATGCTAAATCCAAGATCGCTGCTAGACTGCCCGAGGGCAGAGACGCCGAGTAGTCGCTGGGTGTGACTGGCTCGGCCTGTAGGGCGCGCTAGTTGTTCGTGGCAACGGTGACGAAATCTTCGACTGTTGTCGAAGGGCTGCGGTCAAGACCACCGAAGGTGTTCTACCTCACGCCCCGCATTAGTATTCTTAGGTGCTTCTCTTATGCAGCCTGGGGTGCGGCGCGGGCGCTCAGGCACAGAACATCCTGCACGAAGCCGATGACGCTCTCGTTGGGGCCCAGGGTTCTGTTTCGAAGTAGATCTTCAGCTCTCTCTTTGCGGTGTTGGCTGACAAAAGGGCGAGCTAACTTCAGCTGGCCCTTGGAAACATCCCACGATGTCAAAGAAGACTCGTGATTTTGGTACCAGTACCTGGCAGTTCCTTCCAGCGAGAAATACACGTTTCTCAGGCGCTGCTCGTCGGTCCAGGCACTGTGGCGAGCGACGTGTTTGTACTGGCCGATCCCATCTTCGACGTCCTCGTAGAGTTTACCACGGAACGGAGCAGCCGTCCGTGGTGCGATGGGCAGGTAAACGACGGCAAAAGAGGCCGGGAACGGCGACTGGTTGGCCATCGGCGTCTTGTTCGGCTTGGGCTTGTCCAGCAGCACACCTAATTCAGGAAACTGTCCCCGGGGTGCGGCGGCTGCTGGCCCGAGTTTCATAATCCTTGATGAGTGGTCTTCACGCCGGGCTTGAAATGGGACTTGGTTGACGGGTTCGCGGGGGTGAATGAGTAAATTTGAGCATAGGCTGCTACCCCCGCGCCTCCACCAAAATGTCCCCAATGACTATTGATGCGGCGGGGTTTCGTTCAGCCATTCCCCGCCGCATCAATAGTCATTGGGGACATTTTGGTGCAGGCGCGGGGTAGCAGCCTATGGTCAAATTCACTCATTCAGTGAGGTTTCTGAATAGACCGATCCCACCAAGCATTCGGTGCATGCGTGACGCCGCCATAACTTTAGTTCACTGGAGGCAAACGGCAGTGCTCGCTCTGTCTCGTGCTCCACTCGCGCAGAGCTCCAGCGGGGTTGTCGCACGTGCAGAAAGACTAAAGTTCCCTCGATGCATTGCGGCAGCGGTGGCGGAGTCAAACTGGCTGGTGAGATCGGTCTATTCGGCGGTAAACGTTTCATGGGGCGCACTTGTGCCCAAAACAAAATACGTGAAGGTTAGGGTCGCTGGCGTCGACGGCAGCGTAACAGCGGGATAGAGCGCTGGGGCGAGACAGACTCCGGCTCGCCACGCGGAGCCCCTTATGTGCATGCGTGGGTTTCTTGAAAAATCGGCGGAGAATATTCGGTGCGCAGAACATTCGGTCCTCGAACAGGGACGGGGTTCTTGAATTCACGAGAACGTGACATTCACAAAAATAGCAAAAAGGTGCTTCGGCGCTTAGGCATCCAACCTCGGCCCCGTTTGCGTGGGAGTCAAGCAAAATAACCGTTCAGCCACGGGCGCGCTTGCTGGGAGACGTGTGTGGCGATATGAGTCGAGGAAGACAGCCCGGCCTCAACATCCTGGCCCGTTTAAAGCGTGGTAGCGTTGATATTTTTCAAGTCAATTCTATTCATTTAATCTTTATCGACTCCAGTTTGGAGAACAAGACGGGGAAAAAAGCTATACCGTGTAGCTTGACAACTACATTGCATAGCTTTCGCTGCAAGACGCGATCCCTGGAGAAGCGTTGGCGGAGAGGCCGCCTGCGTTTGTTTTTAGTAAAAATTCACGTGCTGCGAACCATGCCGACCTCTCTCGTTAGTTGATCGTGTTGCCAAAGACGCTGTCGCCACAGCAACAGCCCGCTCACGCGTGCGAGAACGTCGCTGCCTTTCTCTCACTTCGGAGCGCATTCATGGGTACCGATTTCTCTACTTCTTATGATGTGCGTAACTTACGAACGTCTGAGCTAATTTGTCGCAGTCTAAGAAGCTCTTCTTGAATCGGGCCCTTGTTACTTTTTAGGCTTGCTGGCGAAGACGTGCATCATGGCGATGCTCTCCACGTCCTCGAAATGCAAAACTCACTATCAGATTCTTTTTTTTTTTAGATGCGGAGCATCTCTTGCTCGGGCTATGTCCCGCGGCGTCGTAGTCCGCACTCACGCTACGCATGCGCAACTCTCCTCGCTGCACGTGCGTTCTCTCTCTCTCCAACAGCTGCGCGAAGTGCACGCAACTACCAGCTGCGTCCCTCTCTCCAACAGCTGCGCGAAGTGCACGCAGCTACCAGCTGCGTGCACTTCGCGTGCGTTCGCTTCTATAGTCGGTTACAAGTCAAGAAGGTAGGAGAAGCTCCTCCCACAAGTGTGATGCGCCCGTTTCAAATCTCTCCGCAGCCGAAAGAAGAGTTCACTGGAGACGCTCTTTGTTCCGCTTCAATAGATTCCCACTTGTCTCCGATCCCACTTTTTAAGAAAGCGACCTTTGTTATTCATCGGAGAGGGAACCGAGCCCCTGAAAGCAGCCTTTGTATTCATCGGGGGGGGGGGGGGGGGGGGGGGGAAGCTAATCCCCGAAAGTCGTATTTGTTTCCGTCGGTGGGGGAGAACTCTAATCTCCCTCTCGTGGCTTCCACAATGCTAAGTTAAAGTCGAAAGATAAAGCAAATATGTACAGAAAGGCAAGCCCTTCCTCGCGCGTTGGCCGCGACGTCACGGAAACGGTGGGACGCTATTGGATGCGGAGGTGGCGGAGGGATATCTGATTCCCTTTGAGGGGCATTTGCCGCTACCTTCTTAACCTGTAACTGACTATACTCACACCGCGCGCGCAGGCGCAACTCTCCTCCTCTACTTTCTTCTCCTTCAAGTTTGAATATAAGTAGCGGCAAATGCCCCTCAAAGGGGAGGAGTGGCCGAGTGGGCTAACACGTCTCAGCTCGGAGCGTGGAGCGAAAGCTTGCGCTGGGAACCTCCTGGGTTCGAGTCCCCGCCACCCCCGCCCGTTTCGATCTGGATGAGTTTCGTACCGGCACGCTTTCGTGTGATGACTACTGCGTGGTGCACGTTAAGAATCCCTGGTTAGCGGTTGTACTACACTGGCTAAATTTCTCATCTACAGCTAAGAGACCGATTACCCGTTGAGGCGCATCTCCATCCAGGCTGTATAAACATAAAGAGCAAACCAATTTCTGCGCGCGTTCAGTTCACCGCTGTTGACTCCACTCCGTTCTTCCGATGAAGTGTGATGGAACGATGCTCCGCATCACCTCATGGTTCCCCTCGGGAAGATGGTGTAATTTTTTTTTTTTTCGACTGTAGCCTCCAACGGTGCTCGTGTCGGTATCGAATGCGAACCTTCTTCAAGCTTTTGTCCTCTGAGTACCACGGCACGAGACCTGTGCGTTGCTTATGTGTTAGTTGCCTCATGAGGCACGAAAGTCCAACAAAAGACGACGGAAGATAAGAGCGATCAACGCAACGGGAGGGCCGGTGTCCGGGTTCCCAAAGACCAAGAATGAAGACGACGACTGTTTGAATAATTATTCTGAGAAATGTTCTATCTGAGCAAATGCATCCAAATATCACGTTGTATTTTTTTTTCTTTTAATTTTCGTTGAAATAAAAAAAAAAAAAAAAACGGTTTAGGTAAAGCACCAGAAAGTATTGAACAACGATTCTGTTTTACCGCCAAAACCAAACCCAAAACCAGTGGCTCTTACACTGACGGACTGGTGGTGCCATCTATGCGATGTGAGTCAAAACAGAGGCGTTTGTTACACTATTCCCCGTGGTCGTCGTCTGCTCGTCCATATCCGTCTTTACCTTCTTCTAAGTTTTGTTCCAGATAAGTTCGTGATCTCAAACTTTCGCATTCAGGCTAAAATAGTTTCACGTCAAATTTTGGACAATTAGTTTATTTATGTGGGCTAAAACCCCGGGTTTACCTTTCTAGTAGCATGGCGCATACACATGAGCCATGAAATTCATTTACTTGAGGCGGGAATTTAAGTTCTAATCCAACCATTTGAGGCGTACAAAAGCTTCAAAGCCATCGTAGCCAGAATCTTTCAGAAAGTTGAGAGTATCCGCTCGATCAGTTTCCTGAAGTGTAACTTTTCTTTCGTGTGCTTCACGTGGATATAATGATAGTGTAATGTACGATCTACAAAAGCTATTACCTTTCATTGAATATGATGTTTCGATTATCGAATATCTCAGTGTTTGCATATTTAATGCCGCCCCATACGGATTTTAGCGATTCTGGCACCTCATTCAGATACGTACATTATTGCCTTATTACAGTGATAACAATGGGCGCAATACTCACAACTGCACCATTTGGTCAAACTATTATCAATGTCACTCTGAATGGAACCACCTTACGAAAGATGTTCGAACATTCGGTTGCAAACTTCAGCTACCTAAACAAGAAGGGAGAATTTCTTCAAGTTTCTGGTGAGTATCTATGTTTAATAGGCAATACAAAAAAGCCTCACAAAGAGTAGAGGAATCACCGTGACAGATAGGTGACTTAGGCGATTGTTTTGCTTTCATATTTGAAATCGTAGACCTATGAACAGTTATAAACTAATTTTTTAACTCCCGCAGGCATGCGCGTGGAGTACAACTTGTCGCTGCCATCATCATGCCGGGTGATATCCCTAAAAATACTTTGTAAACAATGCCAGGTGCCTGTCTATCAAGACGTAGTTGACAGAGAAATGTACACAATCGTTACAACAGACTTCGTAGCCAGAGGTGGCGATGGATTTACCAAAGCAGAAAAATACGGAGAATCAGGTAGGAAGTTCCGATATTTGGATTGATTTTAATTGGCTTGAATAATACTTCGGGAGAAATAAATAGTTACCAAAATAATGCCGATGGTCACTATTATGGGTCCTCACTTAACTCGCTCATGGCTGGTGTTAATGTAATTAATGCAAAGGTGCAGCGAGCTGGACATGAGTAACGATAATAATCCCTGGAGGAAGGGTACAAGGGGGACAAAGAACAAACCTTCGTCCCTCATGATTGTATTTGCCGGGCCGTCGTTTAAGACTGTAGTTTGTCGTAGGGTGAGAGGCAAATGGCATTACCTTTCACAGCGCAATTAGCAAACAAGTAATGGATAAATTATGACGTTTACAGTTTTCGTCGAAAGCAATTTTTCTGTCCAGGTGATTATCACACTTTCCTCAGATAGCGTTCATTACTTGCCACCAGATGGATGGAAATGAGGGGCATTGACATTTTAGAAGTAAGAGTATGCGTTAAAAATTCACGTGATGCTAAGTAATCATTTAAACTGGGTGTTATTCGGACAGCCAGATATTTTAACATACCGTCTTGCAGAATAGCAACTAGTACACCAACGAACCCAAATGATTTTGCTTTTCAGGTCCCGTTGATTTCGATGTCCTAGTCTGGTATATTCGTAAGATGTCACCTATCAAGACACCTATCGAGGGACGAGTAATCATCTACGGGAACGTCACGGAACCACCCATATAGTGAAAAACGCATTTCGGAAAAATATTAAAATTAATACTTCTTTTTTAGAAGTAACCAAGTTTAAAATATGGACCATGCATCATACACGCTGTCATGTCACCGGTTGGGGTAACACGTGAATTTAGCAATAAATTAGTGAACTACTGAGAACACTTTATTTGTTTAAATGTTTCCTGCTCCTGTGCCCAACCCGGACTAGCACTTATTTGGAATTCCATTTTCATGTCAAGTTTTAAACCCATCCTATTCTTTTTGATGGTTTGAAGTGTTAATTACTAAATAAAAAAAATAAAAAATCTGAGGGTGGCTTGGGAAACAATGCAGTAGGGTTTTCTATGCCCCTGTTTCCTGTTCGTAGTGTCACCCTAATCCTGTCTTCAATGTTTAATTTTTATAGTCTAGTACGCAAACACGTGCACCGTTATTAATAACTTACCGTACATTAGCCGAAAATGTTATTATAAAATAAATTCGTATATAAAAAAAGAACTACCATGCTCCGTTTCACTTGAAGTGCGACCGACGCCGAAGCTAGAGAAACGAGCATGTTGGACGGAATGATGCTTGAACTGCAGGGGAGCGCGTGCTTGACAGGGACGGTGAAAGACCGTAGCTATCTCTTTTAGCTACTGCTACGTTCGCACTTACAGGGAAACGAATTTTAGTACCCCTAGTCCATTGCTCGAAAGATAGTTCCACCCCGCCATCGCTCATACAGAATATTTTTCGTTCGTCGATCTACTGTTTTAGAGCGCAGCTCTTAGGTGCCCGTTTCCGGGTTGAGGTGCGTCCGCGTCGGCGTCGGCGTCGGCGACGGCGGAACCTCGCGTTGCGTTATGGGACGTTTACTCTCAAAAGTTAGTGGCGAAATTTTTCCGCGAAAGTTATTGGGGAAAATGTCCCGCTAGAATAAGCGGAAATATTTTTTCCGCTAAACCTGGCTGGGAAGATTTTCCGCTAAATTTAGCGGGGAAATGTTTCCGCTCAATTTAGCGGGAAAGTTTTTTGTTAAATTTAGCGAAAAATTTTTTCTAAGTTTAGCGTAAAAGGTTCCCGCTAACTTTAGTGGGTTAAGTTTCCCCGCTAAATTTAGCGGGGAAATTTCGTCACGAGTTCTCAACACTGATTCAGTTTCCCCGCTAAATTTAACGGGACGCCACGACTTCGTGTCACGTCACCCATGAACAAATTCAGCAGCAGGAAGAGACGAGGAGGAGAGGCAAACCTCCCCTCCGTATCCTCCCTCCTCCTCCTCAAAAGCTGAGCTCTAGTTTCGCAGTACAGAGATTTGTAAACTTCTTTCATATTTATTTTTAATCTGTATCAGGCGATGGTAGCAAACAAGCTATCACTATTTTCCATAAGAGACACTCGAGTTTCTTGGCAGCTACACGTGCTTCCATTTGAGGAGAAAGAGGCCCTATCGACCAACACACTGTTTACAAACAAGCCTGCGTTTGCACGGACCGGGTGTGGGCATTGCGCATGCGTAGAAACCACATTCGCCTTAGGCGAAGCATCTGCGCATGCGCAGTGGCGACACCAGCGCCACCACAGTGGTGTGACGTCAGAGAGTTGAGTTGGTCTATACTCGCTTTCACATGAGGTCAAACTGCAGCCAACCACTACGATCCGACTTAGCCGATCAAGAAGCGTCAAAAGTGTATCCTTACGGCGCACTTGGTCTTCGTGCGTTTCATATCAACGGCTAAAGTAGTCCCGCACAGTGAATGCGGCATGACACTGCACTTTTCTGCTCTCCGCATGTTTAGCTGGCTGGACGTGTTCGGGCATACTTGTCTCAAGCATTTTTTTTATCGCTTTTTGCCCACACATATTACTTATTTTCATTTTATTCATGCACGAACCGAGCCATATAGACATACGCGAAAACAAATGGTCAAAGTGCAGGCGAGCTGGTGCGTATTAATCGTGTTGTTTAAACCCTTAGGCTAGGAAGTAAACTTCAAGATGAATTAGAATTGCCGGAAGTTGAGACGCGGTCTCTCACATTTATTTTGTCCCTTCTATTTTATCTTCAAGTTTCCTTCCCAGTCTCGCAGTTTAAGTAACACGATTAATATAACAAATTTCAAAATTGGGACGCTGTCTCCACACAATGCTAGAGTAAACGTCATGTCTTTGATGTTTTTTTTTCTTCTCACTTGTGCTGACTTCGCATTTCTTCTGATAGCTCCATGCACTTACAATAAAAATAAAAGATATATAAGACGCATTATATTACACACATCTCAGGTGTTCTTGGAATTGTAATAACTCTTATTTACAACCTTTTTAATTGTCGCCAGCAGGCATGCAATCTAGGATTCCTGGTATTGACTTGTGCTCCCAGAGCTTCGCCTTTACGGCTACATTTCTCTGCCCATACCACATAAAACATGTTTTCGGACAAATAAAAAAAAAAAAAGAAAAAAAAAACGCTAACAAACTTGCGTGTAAAACGTTTCACAATTCTGGTTTACCCGATGAACTCTAACAAATTTAAGGTGGTGGGATGCAAATATACTTGGTCGGAACCAGAGTGCCGAAATGAAAGTTTTATCGGTTCAAGTCGGGTTCGGGTTTACAGCATTTGGATCAGTTCCGGTTCGGTTCCGGATAACAAAAATAACGTTTCAAATCGGTTCGAACCGGTTTGAACGGCTAAATTGAGAATATATTTTTCGGGTTGTATTAAATCTAGGTACTATTTCCGCCGTGTAATGAGTAACTATATGTTTTTTTATCCTTTGTACAACCCACTTTTATTTTCAGGTAGAGTACTAATATAAGAAATGCGTTATTTATTTTCGCCTCACCAGTAAAATAAAATCTAGATTAATATACAAAACGTCGGATTTATACAACTCAACATCCATATGTTTACCTTAAAGGGATACTGAACCAAAGAATTTAGTGCCCATAATAAGTGGCGCACGTTCTTTCCACCAGCCAGCAGCCGCCGGTGTGCGCGAGCACACGCAACAAAAATGACGTCACAGACCTCCATTCGCGGTTGAGATGACAGTAAAATGCATGGGCTTCGGACTAAAGGAGAATAAAGACAGGCTTTTCATCTCTACAAGTGAAAGCTACGTGCATGTTAGACCAATTCATCGCTTACTTTTAGAGCGCAGCTCTTAGGGGCGCGTTCCCGACTTGAGCGGCGTCGCCGTCGCCGTCGGCGTCGCCGTCGGCGTAACCGCGCGGTGCATTATGGGTAAATTTCCCCGCTAAATCTAGCGGAAAAAATTTCCCCGCTAAATCTAGCGGAAAAATTTCCCCGCTAAATCTAGCGGGAAAATTTCCCCGTCAAATCTAGCGGAAAAAATTTTCCCGCTAAATCTAGCGGAAAACTTTCCCCGCTAAATCCTAGCGGAAAAAATTTCCCCGCTAAATGTAGCGGAAAAAATTTCCCCGCTAAATCTAGCGGAAAACTTTCCCCGCTAAATCTAGCGGAAAAAATTTCCCCACTAAATCTAGCGGGAAAATTTCCCCGCTAAATCTAGCGGAAAAAATTTCCCCGCTAAATCTAGCGGAAAAAATTTCCCCGCTAAATCTAGCGGAAAAAATTTCCCCGCTAAATCTAGCGGAAAAAGTTTGGTCACGTGACCCGGGGGTCACGTGACCTGGGGAGTCACGTGACCCCCTCCCGAGGTCACGTGACCTCTGAGGGGGCACGTGACCCCCGAGGTCACGTGACCCCCCCCCCCCCCCGAGAACACGTGGCCCTCAGTACCCTCCCCTCCTCCTCCTCAAGAGCTGCGCTCCAATTCGTCGTTACAGGGAGTGGTAAACGGCTTTCACTTTTTTTTTACACCAGGCACCATTGTGTAGATGAAAAACCTGTCTTTATTCTCCTTTGGTCCGAAGCCCATACATTTCACTGTCATCTCAACCAGGAATGGAGGTCTGTGACGTCATTTTTGTTGCGTGTGCTCGCGCACACCGGCGGCTGCTGGCTCGTGGAAAGAACGTGCGCCACTTATTATGGGCACCAAATTCCATGGTTTAGTATCCCTTTAATCACATATACACGAACTCAACTCTCCTACGTCACGCCGCGGGGGTGGCGTGTCGGGCGCACTTCCGGTCTGGGGCGGTGGGCAGAAGCATAGAGTTATTACAATAAACTCTAGAGGCTCACCTGGCGCTAGTGTCTATGGGACTTCCGGTTGCAAATTGAAGCAGACAGCATGCAGTCTACTTTTCCAGTTTCCCTGTGTATTCCTATGGAAAAACGCGCGTGAATTTTGTCTCGTCGCCGGAAAATAACATGAATAACTTTTGTTATTTCGGTTGTACCGGGTAATATGTACCTTTATTAATATTGTGAAAGTGTAATTGCTTTGGTTACAGCTTTTTTCCTTTACCACTGAACGATGCTAAACTTCGCTATATTTCAGGCCCTTAACCACTGTTCCATGGCAGGTATGTAGAAACGAGTGACGATTCTAAGCCAAATGACGATCGAAAGGAATGTAGAGTGTGTTCAAAGTTCGCCAGCATTCCGTTGGTGCTTATATATTGTTAATATGGCTGTCCTCTCACTATATGAAAATGACCCCGTCGTGCATCTTTACGAGTGGTTTAAAAAACATTCAAAACGTAAAGAATAAAGTACGTGGCCTACGAAAGGTGTGTTTTCTTATTATTTCCTCTGTTGGGCAGTTTTTATCGCGCACCTGTTCCCTGGCTTCCCCCTATTTGCAAATATTTGGAGCGTGCGGGTGATGATTTGAACACAGAACAAGCATCTTCGCACATATTCAGGAGCAGAAAGAATAAAGCAGCACTTATTTATTGCAAATCGGACTATATTACGTGACTTTCAATTTATTGTTATCGTCTGCAAGCACAAGGAGTTACTTACCCGGTGTTACTGCGTAGTTCTTGCCGTCTCTCTTCGTTTTCCACATGTCCTTTGTTCGTTTGGCACGTATACCCCCATGCTGGAAAGCGTCGACGCCGCGTTCGCGCTAACAGTGTCTGACAGTGCA